GAGAAAAACATTGGGCAAATAAATTCTATTCATTTATTTTAAAATTTATTTTCAATCATATTTTGATTGTATTATTTGGTTGAATTTATATATAAATATTAAATTAATTTATATTTTATCATTTTTTGTAAGAAATAGAACTATATATGAATATCATATCTCTAATTGAAGTAAATTTTAATTTTTTGATTATGTTTTTCATTTATATTTTATATTTTCTTAATTATCTTTATTTTTTCATTTATGATTTAATCTTTAATTTAAATAAATAGATTGAATAATTCAATAAAGGACAATGAATTTTATGTTTCCTACAAATTAAAAACATATTTAGAAACCTTAATTACCGACGTGAGAAAGGTGGGCAACAATACTTTGACCTCCGTAGGTGGTTTCCCAATGAGTGATTTGCAGACGTGGTCTATGTCGGTAATTTGTCTAAATAGTAAGATAAAATATTAAAACATGTTTGGTACCAATGTGAGTCACGTCGGTAAATTACCGACGTGACAACTAGCCGATTGTACTTTTTCGGTGAGAATATGCAGACTTGATTTTTGTCGGTAATGTGGATAGAATTCACCGATGTGACTTTTTATCACGTCGGTGAATGGATTACCGAGCAGATTTACACCGACAAAAGATTACCGACGTGATTCAAGTTGGAAATCTGATTTTTCGACGTGCTTTGCTTAATGACCGACATGATTTCTCATCGGTAAATCAAAGCATTCTAGTAGTGATTTTCACCGGCATCCATGAATGTTTGAATCTGGGAAAATGTCATGGAATGCCGATGGCTGGACTGATTCATGCTCCTTCCATTGGTTGTTGACTCTGTTTCTAAAAGAGGGTTTTTTTGGTTTTTTTTTTGGGATATTTATGGTTAGCCAAGGAGTGCAAATATTTTTCTATTTTATCAAATATTAAAATAAATTTATTATTGGCAAGGTTTTTGCTTTTCTCCATTGCCTTCTAGCATTTTAATTTAATTTTTAATGTTGGGTCCTCTGCTTTTAAAATGGGCCACAAAATAAGCCGGTCTCCCAAGGGCCCCAACTCATACGAGGACCAGATTGGGTCTACACCCAAAATTGTGAATTCAATGAAGCAGTAAGCCCAATTTCACCTGGGTTGGTTTTCAATTTCACCTTCCACTAAACATGACCATATGAGAACGTGGGTTTTCAATTTATTATTATTTTTTAATTATTTTTAGGTGAATTTTATTTAATGTTAAAAAATGAAAGATTAATGAAGGTTTTTTTTTTTTTAATTTCCTTTGATCGTTAAATTGCTTTTTTTTCTTTATCAATTTTTATAGATTTTGAAACTAATATTTTATTGAACCATTTTAAGTCACTCATGTGCTTTTAAAAAAGTTAAACTTCGCTATTGCATAAATTATACATTAAAGTTGATTTTCGGACAATGATCTAGTACAAGAAAAGAAAAGAAGTCTAAGACTAGGCTTGAATTCGCTATTCAAAATAAGTAATAATTATTAGTTAAGATCTAACTCTTAATAATCATTTTACTTTATAATCTAATACCCTTATTTATCTAATTAAAAACAATAGATAATAGTTATTCCCTAAAAGTTATTTGAGATAGAGATTATGAGAGATTCTAGATCAATAGCACAGGAGAAAAAAAGAAAAAAGGAAAAGAGAGAGATTCTATTAATTTTTTATGTGAAGTATATGTGTATTTAGTACAAATTAAGAAAAACCTGAACGTTACCTTGCGCAATATAGATTTAAACCCAGCATAACCTCTATTTATCTTATTTTAGATTTGTAAACATAATGGATTCTTAAGTATTGTGTAGACTTAGATTATGTTGCCAAATATGTAAAATTCAAAAGGTTTAAGTACCATTTTGGTTCCTTAATTTTTCATTTTGGTACCAAAATTATCCCTTATCTTTAAAAAGTACCAAAATTATCCTCAGACTTTCATTTTCGGTACCAAAATGGTCATTTCGTCAGCTAAATGATAGGTGGCACATTAAAATGCTAGCAAATCAATTCTTTTTTTTTACTTAACTAATGACATGGAAAAAAAAAAAAACATAGTTGGCATTTTTTTTATGAGTTGGCATTTTCATTTAATTTAAAGATAATAATTCTTTTTTTTTT